TTGGAAAGAAGAGGGGAAGGGAAGAGGAGGAGAGAGAGAAGAGAAAATGGAAGAAGAAAAGGGGTGAGAAAGGGAAGGCGAGGGGTCAATCTTGTCCCTCCCTTTCCTTACCCCTTCCTTAGCTTGCCTCCTGCTCGACCCTCTTGCCTCCTGCTCTACGCTCCCCTCATGCTCCTGCTGGCACGTCGCTGCTCTTTTGCTCGTGTCTTTCGCTCTTTGCCATTCCGCCAAAGCTGCAGCGCTCCCGCAAGTGAGGGTTCTCTCACAGGCTGATCCGTGCCACGTGTGCCACACATGCTGATCTGTCTCGTTGGGTGACGTGGCCTCTCTTTTATAATGGAGAGGTCAAGAGATCGGGACTGTGCTGCAGTTCCATGGTCGGGGCTGCGGTCAAACTCTAGACCAGGCCTGTGCTAAAAATAGCAGCAGTCCCGACCTCGGGATATGAACAGCCAGTCCTATTTTTAGAACGGGACTGGTGCAGGCCCAGGTCCCGGTAAATGAGCAGTGAGTCCCATGCTAAAAATAGCATGGAGCTGAGTTATTTTTAGAACGGGACTGGCACAGGCCCGACTTTTGGAAACGAACAGTCTGTCTCGTGCTAAAAATAGCACATGACCCTATTTTAATTATTTGGGCCTGGCTGTTCATCTATATGGCAAATTAGGGCTATTCCTTTCCTGGCCGGGTTACGCGGTCGTGTCGGTCCGGTCCCAACCGGTCAAACTTGAATATCTCGCTAACCCTTGGTCCGTTTCAAGTGCCGTTTGGACCGGACCCCACTAATTGGCCCATTGTGGTCGCGTCGGTCCAGTCCAACGGGGACGTTTAGGTCTCTGAAGGACCGTACTGCCGCGCCGTCTTTCCCTTGATTTCGGCTCAGGGGAAATCCATCCGACGCGCTAGGGTCCAGTTTGACCATGACTGAACGTCCTTAGGCGCGATTAGACGCATCGCGAGGTTGACTACGGCGAGTCATTTTCCGCTGTTGCGCCGCATCGTCTTCCGACAATGTGCAGCACATCGAATGGGCACTACACCCGTTACGAGATGCGGGTTTCAAAGTGGCGCTTGAAAAGTGTCAGTTTTTCCTCACCACCATTTCCTTCCTGGGGCACGTGGTGACAGACAAGGGACTCCAGCCGGAGCCGCAGAAGGTGGCAGCTGTCAGGGATGCGCCGGTGCCTACAACTATCACGCAAGTCCGCGCCTTTCTGGGCCTGGCCTCGTACTACTGAAGATTTATCAAGGGCTTTGCGGCGATTGCGGGACCCCTCACGAATCTGCTGCGAAAAGATCAGCCGTTGATCTGGACGCCGGAATGCGATCAAGCGTTTTCCAAACTCAAGGCCGCTCTCATTTCGGCTCCGGTCCTTGTAAGACCGGATCCCGAAAAGCCTTTGTTCTCATCACTGACTGGCAGCCAGAGGCAATTTCGGCAATCCTTGCCCAGATGGGACCAAGCGGACTCGAGAGTGTGGTGGAGTATGCGTCCAAATCGGTGCCCGCTTGCAAGCGCAACTACGCCGCTCCAACGGGGGAATTCTACGCGGCTCTCTGGGGAATCAGCCACTTTCGCGCTTACCTGTACGGGCGAAAGTTCACCTTGGTAACTGATCATGAGCCCCTGTTGGCTCTGAAGAAATCGACGGATTACTCGGGCATGATCGGGCGATGGGCAATGGTGCTGCAGAGCATGGACTTTGACATTCGTCATCGGAAGCACGAGAGACACGGGAATGCGGACGGACTGACACGACTGCACCGGCCTAAGAAAGTTTCGAAGGGTGAGGAGGTGATTCCGTGGAACGAACCCGAACAAGAGATCGGACCTCGGTACGGCGAAGTGGAGATCCTGTCGAAGCCGTAAGTGACACGAGGACTAATTCTCTCCACAATTCAGTCCTATCTCTCCTCCTATATCATCATGACTACCCCGCTTGCCTCCACAACCCCTTCATCTCCTACTAATTCTGCCCCTCTGACGTCCTCAGCTTTCTTTGCCACCCTCCCCGATAATTTCTGTTATTTTTGCTCGTGCATTGCACGGGTCTATGGGGTCGACTGTCATCCTTTCGAAACAGGGTTTGTCGATTGGGTAGAATGTACCACGTGTGTCAATCGTGCGCACGGGGCCTGCGTTCGATATCGAACGAGTAGCAAGGAATGGAGGTGTCCCTTGTGTAGAACGAACAAACTCCCCACGGAGGTTCGATTCGAGGCCGCCCGTACGGACGGCCCTGAATACGACGAAAAATACCGACGAGCGGAGGTTTGGACGGATAAAATTTTATTGGCGAAATTAGCGGGATTATCATTGGGTCACCTCACCAAACACGACAGACGTAGGGCGACAGAGAGATCTCGGGACTATCGATGAATCAACGGTCGTTTGGAAAAGCGTAAAACTGACAGATCAGGTTCGTGGCTGACGGTTCCCCATCCATTCCAGAGATATGATTGGATCCGATCTGCTCACGAAGAACAGGCCGCTCCTTTCGCGATACGTGTCACGGAGGCAACTGTAGACCAGAACCGATGGTTTTGGTCCAATATATGAGATGATGTCAAATACATTGTCGCTAACTGTCTGGTCTGTGCCGCTGATCACGCCCCTATACGGGGACCGAACACGATAGTACCAACGGAAGTAGAGCGTCCTTTCCAGCGAGTCAGTATGGACACTACAGATATCGACGTGCCACCTGGCCCAAACCGCTGTGAATATTCTATCCTATTAGTATTGATAGACCATTTTTCCAAGTACATCGAAGTCTATCCCTGTAAGACCCGAAAAGCCGCAGAAATAGCCACGTTCATCGAATGGTTTCTCTATACTCATCTAGATACGAAAGAAATTCTAACTGACAGGGTCTGAATTCAAGGGTGAGGTAGAAGAACTACTTGCGCGAAGGGGCGTCACGCTCCGATATACGGCACCCCACGTATCCCAGTCGAACGGGTTGGCCGAAAATGCCAACCGTATGATTAAAACCGCCCTTTGCATGAACTTAGCGGCACACGACACGCGTCCTTGGCCCGAGATCGTATATCAGATCGTCGGGATCCACCGGACCACCCCTCACGAGTCCACGGGGTTTACCCCTTTTCAGCTTCGAACTAATAGCCTCCCCTGTGTCGACTACCTGGGTAACCCGGAAATTGCCGAAGCAGGGGGTAGGGACACGCGTGCAGCTCTCAAGGCCAAGGCCAAAAGGTATACCGAATTAATGGAACGGGCTGTCCCGAAGCTAGCCCGAAAAAGGCAAAGGATGACCGAGCTGGCCCACGGTAGACAGGTCCGTAGCTACGAGGCTCGGAATGGAAATGTTGGGCCCCAGCACCAATATAAATTAGGGGACCTAGTGCAGGTACGTAAATGTGCACACGACCGGAAACTCGCTCCCAAGTTTTCTGGCTGTTTTCGCGTTGTCGAGCTCGGACCCAACGACGCCAACACGGTGCGCATCGCTCCTGAGGCTAGTGCCAGCCATAGCTCTGTCCCCATCGTCCGGCATACCTCCTACCTCCGTCTTCTTCCTCCTTCGGATCTCCCTCCCTCTTCTTCCTCGGAAAGCGAGGAGAACGACGACGATCTAACTCTCTCTCCCTCCTGTCCTTCGTCCTCCTCTCCAACCTTGCCATGAGTTTCATCACGGAGCGGGTTCTTGATGTACAACTGTTGCAGCCACGTGGCCACATCGCAGAGATTCGGCAAGTTTGTCATCCTCGGCTCAATACGGATCTTCGACGTTTGGCGCAATTTTTCTGCGACGTGGGTATCTGTGCCGCCGCCACGTTTCGAATCGAAGGGAGTCCTCAGGCCATAGTATTTGCGGAGGTAATCGCAGTTCATCGGCGAGCGGCTCCCAGAACGAGCTACGTCACCACGGTCGCGGCGTTCAGCGGCGACATCAGCTCGGTCAATCCGCAAAGGCATATCGCGATCTTGACTTCACTGCGCGAGTGGACGGAGCAGGTGTCCAACGTGTGGCAGCACGTTCTCGCCCGACCTGGGCACAATCTCATCTCGATCTTTGCGCCGGATCTTGGCGACATCCGCCGTTCTCCGCGCGGGCGGCCAGTTGTGATTCCCACCCTCGTCCCCTTCCCACATCCCCAATGAACCACGCCAATCCTTTCGCTCCTCTCTCAATCTTTGGTCTCCCCTCTCTCTTCCCCACCTTCTGGCAATCCGATCTTCATCCTTCTCTTTCCTTCTCATTCGAGCCTCTTTCAGTCCCTCTTATCAATCCTGGGCATTGGCGGCTGTGGCGCGAAACTTTTGAAGAGTTGTCCTTTTGCTTGGCCAGAGTACAGGTGACGTGGACGCAGACCAGCGAGCATCCTGCGTGGATCGAAAATCCGGAGCTGCTGATCATCCAAGCTTGGAAGCTTGGAGGACTAACGTGGAGGGCGATCTTCTTGGCTTTCTCTTTGGATCGGTATGGCTGGGGCGCCGCCAGTGGATTGCGCAGGAGCTCATCGCGCCGATCGTGCAATTAGCGGACGATCTCTCGCCCGACATCTATTCACAGAGTGACGACAATCCTGCTCTGCACGTTATCGAGCGGTCATTGGATCCGTACCTTCAGTGGACTGCGTTTTTGGAGGAGCCCAGGGATGAAGATACGCTGCCGTCGCGGCAGGAGTATCTGAAGCCGTACGATATCATCCCTCACGCCTTTTATCCGAGGGCGAAGGAAGTGGTGATCGACGACGACGACGAAGAGGACGAAGACGAGGAAACATCGGGGGAGGGAAGCTATAGCGAATATAACGAGGAAGAGCTGAGTGAAGAAGAAGAGGAGGAAGAAGAAATCGGATCTGAGTGGGAAGCCTTGCTGGAGGAAGCGACGCGCACGGGAACGGAGGTGGAAGATCCGGAAGCGGCGCGAAAGCGCGAAGAAATTGCCACCGGGAAGCGCCAGCTGGAGTTCGCCACCGAAGCCAGCCTGCGCATCGGCAACGATCCGACCAGAGATCCGGAGCCGCCAAAGCCCGAAGATGGCGACCCTGCAGCCGCCACCACAAGTACCGCGCGACGGAGATGGAGCCGATCCCCCTCCTCCCCCAGCCTTACCCGTCCCTCAGTTCGCCCATGTACAGATGCGGGCGATAGGCCTTCATCCTCGGACGCTATCCCGCCGACCCCTTGATTTCCTCACCCTCGAGCAGATCCGCACCCCCGTCACCTTCCCTCCCCATCCCTTCCTCCCCCATCTCTTCCGCGACTTCTACTCTACCCGCCTACTCGCTACCGTCTACCCCCACACATCCCTTCAACCCGCTGCCCCCACGTTCTGCTGGCATATCCTGCTGTTCAGCGCTGCCTAGGAACGATGCAACGTGGTAGAAGTCTACTGCGCAGCCACGGGGACAATCCCCGCCTGCCGCCACTTCGAGCTCTTTCGAGCGGCGCTTTTTCGCACCCTCTCCTCCTTCTATCGTGACTACCTCGCTTCCCTCCCTCGCAGCGGCGATCATTTCCCCCACTTCCACCGGATCATCCGATATGAGGAGCTTCCAGTGACGATGGAAGGGATGAATCGCTTCCTACCCCCACTTCCTCCATGTACCGCCTCTATCGGCCAATCCCAACTAGGAGGTAGGTCCTGTGACTATCTCTTCTCTGCCCCCCCCCCTTCTCTCCCCTCTTCATCCAATCAGCAGGGAAAAAGGCACGAATCAGTAAGCTTCGCGAAGATCCCGCCATCGACAATGACGTCAACTCACACTGATTCGACGGGCAGAGATAAACTGGGGTGCAGAGCACACGGAGAACCGGCGGACGATGATGGCGCCACCTGGATGACCATCGAGTAGTCCAGCAGCACGAACCAACGGAAGATTGGCATCAACATGGACTTTGGCTGGATCGTTTGTTGATACGCTTGGTTCCTCATGCATCACTCTGTTCTCTCTCTCTCCCTCTCCTTCTTCGCCATGACATGCAATCAGGAGATCGCATAATTTTGGAACCCCCTGCGCGTCACATATATGACGAACCTCTTCCCGAACCCGTGCTATCTTTCGTACCCTTTTTGCTTATATCATACCAACCCCATAAAAACCCCGTTTCGTTTTCTTGATTTTTGGGTACCGCGCTCCTATCTTTCAGAAGCTTTTTCGACTCCCGGATTCTGCTTTTCCTTTCTACAATTCGGGAAATACATAGGAAAGTATGTGCGCCTTAGCGAGAGCACTGGGAATTGGGCTCGACAGTTGGGAATTTCGGGATAAGCAGAACGTCGACGTGTCCTTTTTGTGTGTGTGAATGTTCTTGGTCGTGTCGGGGAAAACTCTCGGAATTTTGTGCGAATACGAATAGGCATCGGATTTTCTTTTCCCGCGTCGCTCTTTCGCGCGCGGATATGGTGATTTCGATTTTGAATTAGGATAGAAGCAAGCTGTAACTGTTTCGGTGCCTTTTTGTTGGCGGCGCCGCGCACGCAAAAGCTCTCTCCCCTCTGCCCCCCCCCCCCCCCCCCCCCCCCCCCCCCCCCCCCCCCCCCCCCTCTTTCTCTCTCCCCGTAACTGTTTTCCTTCTCTCTCTCTTTCTTCCGCTCTGCTCTTTGCGCGCCCATTTCCTTTTCTTGATCATCTGAATCTTGGACCCATCTTGCGCTATTTCTCGCGCCTTTTCTCTTCTCACCCTCTGAGTCCAATGCACGACGCCCGGTCGATCCGTCGATAACTCCCGTTCGCCAATCAGGTGCGTGGATCAATAGGATCTTCCTATTGCGCAACGAATCTGATTCGTTGAACATCGAGTTCCGAGGGATCAACATGGCATTCACAGAGCACTCTTCTCAAAGTCTTCTCCTCCTGCTTCTCCTCTTACACCTCAGCTTCCCCGTAGCTTTCTCCCCCTTCTGTCTTCCTTGTCGCAACTATAAAACCCGCAAGCGCGCTCGCAAATCTCTCTTACGTTCTCGACTCTCAAGCCAGCTTCCGGGAAGCAATGGCTAGGCAGAGTGTTTGGTGCGAGTCGAAAAGTCTTGTCGGGCTGACGATGGGCTGGCCATTTGCGCGCTGGATCGCCACGACGGACTGTGGGATCTGGGCAAACCGTGTCGAGTTTACGACAGCAGGGTGACGATCGCAGTGGTGGGAGTCAGCACGTGGCGCCCGGGATCGTCGGTGCGGGTATGAGGATCGATGAGTGGAGTTGCGTGAGTGATTGGCCCGGGGCCATATTGGAATTAACGGCGAATGCGCCTTTGTTGTTGCGGATCTTTTTCTCTGACAACGCTGAACCTCCTTCTTTTGGGTTGCGTCATCTCCTATCTCGACTCTCCTCCCTCACCTTCCCCTTCTCCTCTATCTTTGAATAATGATGTGTCTTGATGCTTCTCTCCTTCTCTCCCTTTCTCTCTCTTGGATGAGCATGAATCTGTATGCTTCCATTGCGTGAAAGAACTTCTTCCGGAACTCTTCCATTAGTTTCCTGGGTAATCCTCCTACGCAAGGACCCCGTCTTCTTGTCTTGTGAACGATGGATGCGTGTGTACTGTGCAAGCGATCCATCTTTTCCTGTGCATGGTTCATTTTTCGCACCTTCCACAGTGGATGTATGTATGGAGAGGTGTGACCCCCTTTTTTTGCGTTGATTAAACGATTATCGTCGGGATTTTGTTCGAGAATGCAAGAGTGTTTAGATCTGTAGATCTGAATGTACTGCGCATGCCATCCGCCTTATGCTGCACGACATCAGCAGCCGAGCTACGGGGCGGCCTCGAGAAACAAGGCGCCTGGGATCAACGTCGCGCTGGCTAACTAAACCTGAGCAGCGGATCGGTCCCTTAGTTATATGCATGACCTAGCTGCGGAAGTGTCTTCTTTCGCCCTCTCTCTCTCTCGTGTTGAAAGGGATTGATTGTGAGTTGCACGAGTGTTTTCTTTTCTTGATGACGTCACAAGGTCTTTACAATTGATTGATATGTGGACTGACCAGTACCCTCCGATCGGGCACCAGCCTCCCGTACCTCCCATCCCAACACGGCCTTTTCCCTACAACGAGGAAAGGACACGTGTATGCGAGTGGGACGTACGAGAAGCTGTTGCACAAATCGGCGGGCGGTATTACTTCCCTCCGGCAAATCGTTGCTCAGGGTTCGTGGAAGCTGGGTTTGTCATTATCGATACACACTTCCTACCTTACTCGATATTGTTGCCATTCAACGAGTTGATCGTCATCCCGTGGACGGCAGTAGAACCCCACTGGCCGCGAACTCTATGCACCGAATATCAGCGTTTTGAGCGCTACGAATCCAGGGGTTTCCACTACCGTGTGCGGAGTGAAGACGAGCATAAAGAAAGAGCCACGCGGCTGAGACCATCCACGTCAGACTCGGAACTAACCAGCGAACGACGACGAGATTTGATACGAAAACAAGACACGCGAAGCGTGCCAAAGCCTTTCCGTTCTAAACGACGGGCTGTAGCCCGGTGGGAAGCCCAACAATACTTTTTGGATTGAATTTTGATTTTTTCTTTCGCGCCGTGCCCGCGCGCGTTCTGCGACGCATGAAAGCACTCGACTTGCTTCATCGGACCAACACGGGGGATTTCAGTTCCATCTGTGTCCCCACACTCAATTTCCAAAAATCCTTGGCACACCCCATCTTGCTGTTTTTTTGGGCCTCTTTCCGCACGCCTAACACTCCGGATGAAAGACAGCACAGGGCGTGAGGTTGCGCGTCACGGATCTGGGCGAATCCGCGTCATAGTTGAGTGGATGGGGTGACGATCGATGGGTCTTAGTGTTGGGTACGTGGCGGCTGTCGACCGACAATACTTGAGCTAGGAAAGGTATGTTGGTGATTGATCAGATGGCCCAGGGCCATAGTTCGAGAGCAAAAAGGCGTTGCGCCATGTCTCCTTGTTTTTCTTGCTAGTTTGGAGTTAAGTATCTGCCAGGATGCCAATTTTTACTTCCATAGTCGTGCATGTGTATACCTCTTTCCTTCTCTCCCCTTTCTCTATGGATGTATGAAGTGGATGAATGCTTGCTCATGTTGCTTTGTGCTGATAATCCGTCAGTGGAATGGGTCTCAAACTATGCTGCATGTCTCGCTCTTTCGTTGTCAAGATCTCGTCGGGTGGCGATCGTTGAAACGCAAGAGCGGACGACGGATTTGTGATGAGAGACACGTGTATCTTCTCCCTCTCTCTCTAGGAATGTCGTGGTGTGTGGATGATGGATATATGGATGTATGCGATTCTCTTTTATTTTCTTCTCGTTGAAGATTTTCATTATGTCGGATTGGCGCTTTCAATCGACCCAGCCGGCTCACTTCTCAGAGCAATCTTCCACCTGTGGGGAAGAATGCAACGAGGAACGTCGCTGGGTTCTCACCGGTTGAGAACGTGCCACTCTTTCGAGATTAACGATGTTCATCATTATCTTCATTTTGAATGTATAAATCTTTCTACTTAGGTCGAGGGGTTCTGGAACGAACACCCCTTAGAACAACTCTACTCAGGAAGACCTTTTGTTTTGAATGTTTATCAAGCTAAGCATTTCTGTTGACATCATTCGATACTTATTCGATTAACTGCTAGTTCAGGGGAGCTCCTGCCTGAACTCTTCCGCCAACTTCCTGGGTAATCCCCCACCACGATGGAACATCGGGCATAAGAATCCGCTCACATCACTTGATTTCCCTTGCGGAGGCCCAAAGTTGATGGGTTTTGATCATTTTATTTTGTAAGCCGCGGATGTGCGTGTATCGGCCATGTGGACTGAGTCAATAAGCCATTGGGGCGTTAGCTTCTCGAACTCTCCCCCTCACGGCCTTTTCCGTACAACGACGATAGGACGCATGTTTGTGAGTGGGACGTCCGAGAAGCCGTCGCCAAGATCGGCGACCCTTGTCACTTCCCTTCTGAAGCACGGTGTTCAGGATTCGTCAATGCAGATTTTGTGATTGTTGATACCCACTTCCCTCCCTACTCCGTTTTGCTTCCGTTCCATGAGTTGATGATCGTCCTGTGGCCGACAGTCGCTCTGTGACGCCCAACCTCACGCCCGACGCAACTTCCTGATCGGAGTGGGATGGGGGCCTGGAAGTGCGAAAAAGGGGGTGTGCCAAGGATTTTAGGAAAGTGGGGGTGGAGTCCCAGGTCGGAACTGAGATCTCCTGTGGCAAGTTTCGGGGGTAAAAGCGCAAGAGGGTAGGTGCAGGTCGTACTGGCACTTTAATT